GCCCCCTTCCTGCTGGCCTAGTCACTCCTAACTAACCCCCCCTACTGGCCTGGTCACCTCTTACTGCCCCCCCTGCCAGCCTGGTTGCCCCCAACTGCCCTCCTCTGCCATCCTGGTTGCCCCCATCTGCCCCCTTCCTGCTGGCCTAGTTGCCCCTCACTGCCCCCCCTGCCAGCCTAATCGCCCCCAACTGCCCCCTCTGCCAGCCTGGTTGCCCCCAACTGCAACCCACCCGCTGGCCTGGTCACCCCTAACTCCCTCCCCCTCCAGCCTGGTCACCTCTTACTACCCCCCCCCCCCCTGCCAGCCTGGTTGCCCCCAACTCCTCTCCCCGCCGGCCTGGTCACCCCACACAGCCTGCTGTTCAGTCATTTGGTCATCCCTCAATAACCCCCTGCCAGCCTGGTCATAGGCAGCCAGCTTGTGATGGCATGAGAGTTAATTTGCATATTACCTCTTTATTATATAGGATATTTTACCTCAAAGTAAAAAAAAGAATGAGTTCCAGCCTCTCTTGAGGAATATAGAAGCAGGATTTCAGGGGGCTAAGTAGCAGGAAATCATAGATTCTGAGTCAGTAAAGACTTAGATGTGGTAAGCCCAGCTCTTGATTGGCACAGAGTCCTGTTTCCTGCCTCCCACGTAAGGGCCCACTTCCAGCCTAAGCACCTACTTGCTCAGGACGAGACTACTTTTTTGTTTGTTTGTTAATCCTCACCCAAGGATATTTTTCCGTTGATTTTTAGAGAGTGGAAAGGAGAGGGAGAGATAGAGAGAAACATCGATTGGCTGCCTCCTGCATGCACCCCAGCCAAGGCCAGGGAACCTGCAACCAAGGTACAGGACCTTGACCGGAATTGAACCCAGGATCCTTTAGTCCACAGGCTGATGCTCTATCCACTGAGTTAAACGGCTAGGGAATGACAAGACTACTCTTGAGGCAGCACAGTTTTACAGTGAATTTAGTGCCTCTGCAGCTCCCCTGAATTAATGGTGGTCGTAGTGGCACTCAAAAGGAAATTAGAATGATGCAAAGGCAGAGGGTGGTGGACAGCTTAGAAGCAGGGCACATGGTCCATCTGGCAGCTGGGATTTGGGACCAGGCTAAAATGGTTTCTAAAGACCGATATAAAATGTAATTGAATACCAGGAGCAATAAGTGTCTACTTGGAGAAATGGGTTATTGCTTAAGAATGAAGCAATAGCTGTGGCAGAATCTAATATTATACTGAAATTGGTTGCTTTGTTCGTTTGTGCTATATATGCTGCGTCTTCACACATGTGCCACTGATGCGAAACAGATGAATGAAGCATTTTCTCTTAGGCTGGGGCAGTGCTCTGGACTGACAGTTTTGGTGGGAGGTGGAAACGATGGCCAACAACCATTGATTAACAACTGATGCGGATAAGATTTTGTCAGCAGGCAGGAGGAGGTGAGGCCTCAGGTGCAAGCCTGCTACAGCAAAGCAAAACCATGTGCAAATAACCAGCTCTTCTCCACGAGGGTGGCATAATGTCAACGTACAATGAATATTCCCTACTGCCATCTTATCCATCTCAGGAGGTCATCAGAAAAAGTACCCAGAATGTAACAGCCCAAAGGAGGCTTAATTTCTGTAGCTTTGTGGGAGGTTCTCTACAGTTTACAAATCATTTGCACTTTTATTGTCTCACTTGGTCCTCAACAAAACTCCACCAGGACGGGAAGATATGATTATCTTTATTGTTTAGATGAGTAAGCTGATGTCTAGAGAATGTAGCGAGTTATCCAGGATCATAGGACAGGGTTTTAGACTCAGGGCCTAATTCTAGAAACTAGCAAGGATAGCAGATTTCGGGGCTCTTTAAGGAGAAGTACAATTTTATGTTGGGAGAAAAATGTGGAAGAATTAATGAATATTAAAAGATATCCAATGTAACAAGTTTTTCTTCTCTCTTCCTTCCCTTTCCCTCCCTTTCTTCTTCCTTTCATATTCTTGCTCCAAAAGAACCTTTTCTTTTCTGATCTCATCTGTGCTATATATGCTGCATCTTCACACATTTAGCACTGCATGTGCTGATAAAAGTGAGTCTGTACAAGTGAGGACACCGACTGTGGGTGCTGGGTTGCACCATACTGTGCTTGGCACATGTTGGAGGCTTAAAACATGTTGCACTGGCTAAGAAGTGATATTCTGGGAGCACTCAAGTAAAATCTGCTTAGAAATTAAAGTTTTCCAAGTATATACAGTTATACTGTCTCAACAGCTTGTGACTTAGCATGCTCGCAAAAACTGCTTTTCAAAATTGTGGTATGCATAGTTTTATAGTCACTGTGTAGTAAAGGAAGCAAAGCTGGGGTTGCAACCATACCCTACGCTGGAAAGATTTTCTAAAGTGCTCACTATTGTTCCCTTTCATTTCACAAAAGGCCCTAAGATTTTTTTCTGAGCACTAACAGCTATTTGACAGATTTCTTACCCATGCCCCACACCTACACGTAATTGGATAGGCAATAGTTGTAATCGTTTTAAGGGAGTTTACTGGAATGCGTATAAAAGAACAGAGGCCGAAACCGGTTTGGCTCAGTGGATAGAGCATCGGCCTGCGGACTGAAAGGTCCCAGGTTCGATTCCGGTCAAGGGCATGTACCTGGGTTGCGGGCACATCCCCAGTGGGAGATGTGCAGGAGGCAGCTGATCGATGTTTCTCGCTCATTGATGTTTCTAACTCTCTATCCCTCTCCCTTCCTCTCTGTAAAAATTAAAAAAAAAAAAAAAAAAAGAACAGAGGAAATGGTATGAAGTCAATCTCTTACATCCTCTTATTTTCTCTAAGACAGTGGCTCTCAACCTTCCTAATGCCGCGACCCTTTAATACAGTTCCTCATGTTGTGGTGACCCCCAATTTCATCGTTACAAATTGAACATAATTAAAGCATAGTGATTAATCACAAAAACAATATGTAATTAGATATGCATTTTCCGATGGTCTTAGGTGACCCCTGTGAAAGGGTTGTTCGACCCCAAAGGGGTCGCGACCCACAGGTTGAGAACCGCTGCTCTAAGATCAAACACTTTTCTTCCATAGTAATTCCTTAGAAACACTAAAAAACTATAGGGGCAAGCCTGATTAAATATTTAAAGACACAGTTGTGGGAAGGGCTAAGTTTGTGGCTCCATAGAAAGTATGTTGGAACTTTGGGCAGGATAAGAGTCTCTGGCTTATCTTTTCGTGGGAACTGCCAGAAGCCCTGTGACTTTATTAAGAAATTCGCAATGTCTGGTGGGCAGAGTATCTCTATGTCTGTCAGATACCTGAGAAGCACATACTCTGAGCCTTGGGTAGGGGCGGGTAGTAAAACATATTGGAGGACTTGTTTAACCTCCAGGATGATGCCCCTCCCAGTCCAGTATTCTTTCTAACACAGACTTTCCTGGTAGGTAAATGCATCCCCCACTGCAGATGGGGGGCGATGAGGAATAGATTGAAACACCGATTGGTAATAAGATGTCTTCTCTGAGGATGAATTTTTTTTTTATTGATTTTTTACAGAGAGGAAGGGAGAGGGATAGAGAGTTAGAAACATCGATGAGTGAGAAACATCGATCGGCTGCCTCCTGCACATCTCCTACTGGGGATGTGCCCGCAACCAAGGTACCTGCCCTTGCCCGGAATCGAACCTGGGACCCTTCAGTCCGCAGGCCAACGCTCTATCCACTGAGCCAAACCGGTTAGGGCGAGAATGAATCTTTGAAATGATACTGGAAAATAATGTGGAGATGGAATTCATCTTACAAAAATTCACTTAGAAGCACAGTATCATGAGTGAGACAAAGCTATATGATAAGAAATTAGGTAATACTGTTGTGAAATCCTACAGGCATAAAGTTACAACTTAGGATCATCACACTTATTTCAAAATCCATAGTTTCACCCTATTTTACTCCTTTTGCTATTACCCGGGTCTGGGATGAGGACCTCATGTACACTTATCTCCGTCCACTCCCTAACCATGTTGATAGAGGTTGGACCACCAATCCTTAGGACATCTGTAGCATTTTCATTTAACAGTGACAAATTCTTCCCCTCTCTGCACCTATCAAGAGGTGATGTCTATTTCTCCATCTGGGTTGGCCTGTGACTTGCTTAGCCAAGGAGGCATTAGCACGCATGATACACACACAGGCTTCAAACTCACTTGTGCACTGGGCTTGCCCCTTGCTGCCTTTGTCACCCCGAGAACACCGTGTGAACAGGCCCAAGCTAGCCTGCCGCAGGGTAAGAGGCCACGTGGAGAACTGAGGTCTCTAGCGAATAGCCAACCAGTCGTCAGACTTGAGAATGAGGCCGTCAGGAACCTGCCAGCCTCCCAGCCGACCTTGCAACGGACGGCAGACATGTGAGTGAGTCCAAAGCCGGCAGAAGAACTGCCTAGCCCAAATTCCTGACCCACAAAATAGTGAGCTAAACAAAAGCTTACTGTTTTAAGCCATAAGCTTTAGAATGGCTTGTAATGCAGTAAAAGCTAACAGACACATTAAATGATATTTTATTTGGTGCTACTAAGTGGCATATAAAGTTGGAGAAAAGGTTCTCTCTGGGCCTGATTCTACCATGGGCTCTTTCTGGTATTTAACTTCCCTCCTCTGTACTGTATTTTTTCTTCTTCAAAGACAATAATGCGTTCATGAAGTTCAGTAGTAATTCTAATTTGCATATATGTACATTACACTTTTCATATCTTCTTTTCCTCTTTTCTCCTCAACAGTTTCACCAGAACCCATTATGAAGACCAGATCCTGATATACATTCTTTTCAAATGAGAGAATACTATATGTGCTCAAGAAACTCCAAAAGGTCACATGCATGAGCATCACAGTTACTGTTTCACAATGAATGGAGTTATATAATTGCTATAAGAATCAGAATGGCTCTCTTCTAAGAATTACTTTTTCTCACTGAGAGCTCCTTGTCTGTTTGTTCAGTAATAGTACCTGGTAGAAAGTTTCCAAACTTACCTGAGACTTGAAGTAAGTTTCTTGTGGGGTGGCAAGAACATCTGCAGACGCGATGTCCAAATGCATGAGTGTCTGCCGGAAAGAAGGTCGGTTGCGAGGTTTACTTTGCCTAAATGTAGAAAAAGGCAGCTTGTGCATTTCAGAAGGTATGTCCAGGAGGATAAAGATTTTATTCTACTCTAATAAAAATGAAAGCCATTTTGACTCTATGCATGGCTGTATCTCAGTGTTGATGAAATGAACATCAGTGACCTGTTTGATAATAATCCCTTAGGACTGGTAAAGTAATAATAGCTATTATTTACTAAGGCCTACTATTTCAACATGTGCTAAACTCTTTACTTATCAATTGTTCCAAGGTTCCAGGTTTTTATCCTACCAGGCGATTCACTCCCAATACACATTAGAGACTTCCCTGCAGTTCTGAAGAAGTTTTAAGTATGGTTTTGAGGAGGGAGGTAAAATAGAATATTGGGAGAAATATATTCCTTACCATGTCTGTTTCATAAGGATTTTGAATCCATCAGGGCAAGTGGAAGGAACTGGAAGATGTAGGCTATTGCTTCCAACACCCCAGATAATGGCCGAAGAGTCTACATCTTTATAAGGGATCTCTCCTGTCAGCAATTCCCAAAGCACCACACCAAAGGACCTGCAGTAGTACCAAGAACATGCACAGAAGACGTTTCAGAAAGGCTGGCTTGTATTTTAGTTCTTTATTCATTTTTTAAAAAAACATATTTTTATTGATTTCAGAGAGGAAGGGAGAGGGAGAGAGAGATAGAAACATCAATGATGAGAGAGAATCATTGATTGGCTGCCTCCTGCACACCCCCCACTGGGGATCGAGCCCGCAACCCCGGGCATGTACACTTGACTGGAATCGAACCTGGGACCCTTTGGTCCGCAGGCTGATGCTCCATCCACTGAGCCAAACTAGCCAGGGCTCTTTATTCATTTTTTAAAAAATATATTTTATTGATTTTTTACAGAGAGGAAGGGAGAGAGATAGAGAGTCAGAAACATCGATAAGAGAGAAACATCAATCAGCTGTCTCCTACACACCCCCTACTGGGGATGTGCCCGCAATCAAGGTACACGCCCTTGACCGGAATCAAACCTGGGACCTTTCAGTCTGCAGGCCGACACTCTATCCACTGAGCCAAACCGGTTTCGGCTCTTTATTCATTTTTAATTGAATGTGCACCCAGTTTTAAAATTCTAATACTGCTACAAGAAAAATGGAAACAGCCAGGAAAACTCTAAGAAAGAAAGTCACTGAGAGGTAACCAGCGCTACCGATATTAAGACGTTTTATAAGGCTTCAGTGATTGACTCTGGTGCATGAACAGACAGCTACACTAATGAAATGGAAGAGAAATCTAGAAATAGACCAACTACATAGAGGGATTGCATATATGATAAAAGTGACATCTCCAAACAGTGGGGGAAATTGATTATTTAATAGATGCTGTTTGGACAACTAGGGAGAAAATGAAATTTATATGTTATCTTACATAAAGATGAATTCCTATTGAATCAAAGTTTTAGTTATAACAGTGAAACTAGATTTCCTGAAAAAATACATGGGAATTAAAAAAAACCTTAAAGTGGTGAAGGATTTTCTGATTATGAAATCCAGAAGCCATAAAAGGAGAGAATGATAAGCTAAACTGCATTAAAAAAAAAATCTGGCATGGAAAAAAACTCTAAGCAAAATAACAAAATGTGAAAAGTTGTTATAATTCTTATACACAAAAGGCTAATCTTCTTAATATATAAAATATTCATAAATTGATAAGAATGAAGACCAGAAAGCTTAGCAAAGAATAAAAATAGTTCACAAATAAGAAATTACAAATGGTTTGTAAACATGAAAAAATGCACAACCTTACTTATAAGAAGAGGAATACAAATTAAAATTGCTCCAAATATACTTTTTTTAAAAAACCTACATGGTTGGCAAACATCCAAAAGTTTAACTTTGTTGGTGAGGCTGAGCAAACACTCTTACACATTTCTGTTGGGAACATAAATTGGCATAATTCCTAAGGAGGACACATTCATAATAATTACCCAAATTACCAGTCACTCTACATTTCTTCTTTTTCTTACTTTGATGTTACATGCAATTTTAATATATGCTATTATTTTAGCCTAAAAGTTATTAATAGTCTGTTTTACGAATGGATAAAAGCAACTACAGGGAAATACACTGTTAATAGCAAAGATTTGGAGGAAAAAGTGATAAAGATTCTAAAAAGGTCACCACCAACAAAAAAGCATAGCCCATAGAGGTGTTTATAAAAGGGTAAATAGCACTATACAACTCAAATATGTCTAACTATTCACATCAGTAGGTCACAGATATACATGATGATCTGAGTCACCAAAACAGGTAAACTTTGTTCGAAGTATTTCATTTAAGAAGGTGAGAATTATGTAATGTAAAGTCCAGGAAGACTTTTGTACTAAATGGTTATTTAAAGTAAACGTTCCATTTTCCAGAAAGTTTAGCATATTCTTTGAAGGTCCTTAAAACTGATGCTTTACTGAATCATCTTAATTCTATCCCAACCCTTCTTACCATCGTATTGGGTAATATGGGACTGCAACCAACCAGAAGAGAGTAACACTGAAGACTACCTGAGGAAAGTAGAAGTGTGGATGGAGGAACATGCTGACAGGGTGAGAGTGGGGAAAGGTTTTCCAGTTGGTACAGACGGTGCTGCTCACCATATATCGACTTTTTCAGAGACAGGCTCATTTCGTATCACTTCTGGCGCCATCCATGCGACTGTGCCAGCAAAGGACATCTTGGTACTTTTATCGCTGAGTTCCTTAGAGGTCCCAAAATCTGAAATTTTTACTGCATCTGTGTGAGTCACTAAAACACTTTGAAAAGAAATAAGAGAACATCCAGATCATTAGTACTAATAAAAAACATGACTCAAATTGGCAACTGAAGACTTCGCTGCCCCCTACATTGCAGAATTCAGCTTACCAGCTTCAATATTACTAGGACATTAGCGATACACTAGAAACAGCACCATTCATACTTGTGAGGCAGCATAGCATAGAGGGCTTTAAATATATATATTTATATTGATGTTTTTTAGAAAGAGTGGAAGGAAAAGGAAGAGAAAGAGAAACATCGATGTGAGAGAGAAACATTGATTGGTTGCCTCCTTTATACACCCCACCTGGGGACCGAACCTACAACCCAGGCCTATGCCCTGACTGAAATCGAACCAGTGACCTTCTGGTGCAAGGGGATATGCTCAACCAATTGAGCATCACTGGCCAGGGCCATAGTGGGCTTTTACATCTGGTTTTATCCTGCCTTCACCATTGTGTGAGCTTTGCCAATTTATGTAATTCTTCCATGCCATTTTTCTCATCTATGAGATGGAGACAATCCAGTTCACAATATCTTATCCACAATTTAAAAATGCAAAAAGATCTAAAAACAGTGTATAAATATTTTTTTCATATGCATAAAGCAAACACACTTTGTTTACCCCACTTTGTGTGCCTACCATATGTTTCGCTACAGATATATGAATGTGGCTGATTATAGGGTGCTGACCCAGTCTTTGCTGGGGATGTAAGGTAATGAATGCACTGTTCCTGAAATCACCTGACTCCCAGAGTTTTGGATAAGGAATATGGGCCTGTAATAATGCCTCATGAAATTTTGTTTGAATTAAATGAGATAAGTAAAGCACACATGCTCAATAAATATTGGTTTCTACTCTGCCAGTCTCAGACAACCCACTAAGAAAACACTTCTTTCAAAACACTGTTGAAATGATGGCCAACTAAAATCATGCCTGGGACCATGGTACTAGGAAGTCGTATCCTGGGATTCCACTAACAATGAGGAAAAGCAGGAATAAATCTAAGCTTAAGTAGATTCAGACAACTCATGTTTTAGTTTTCATAATAGTTATCTGAAATGTGACCTGGGCAAACTGCTTTTGCCAGCTTTAAAGATGAATATAACCTGGGACTAATACAACATAGTAACATCCTCACGCACTAGACGGAGTTCACTTGAAACAGCCTGTTTAGAACTTAAGAATGTCAATGAGTTAGGGTTTCAGAGGCTTAATGATCTAGAGACCTATTTTTAACAATAAAAAGGCTTAATACTCCAGCAGTATCAGAATCAAGGAGGTGAGAAAATAGGAAACTTCTTAGTCTATCTCCTCCCTTCTTTGCTTGAACCAGGACTTCACATTTGCCCCGTCCCTGCCAATGTGAAATAGCTATTTACCAAATAGCTCAGTGCTTACAATTGCTTTAGAATACCTTCATCCACATCCATGCCCTGGTTTTTCACCTGCTATGTAAAATTCACATAATTTAGGAATTTTGATTTAATGGTGCTAGTGTTGGTGGAAATGCATAAAGGTGAAAGTATCATGGGCTATTTGCGATAATTGGAGAATTGATGGTATCATAAACCATGAGAGTCAGAAAAGGCAATAAACCCCTAGAGGAAAAAACACCAGAAACTTCCCTTTCTGCCTCTTATGTGTTGCTCATTATAGGACACTAGAGGTCTGGTGCATGAAATTCCTGCACAGGTAGGGTCCCTAGGCCTGGCTGGCAATGAGGGCCGACCTGTAGGGTGACCAGCTGAGTAACTGCCCCGCCAGTTGGGGCCTGCGGGCTGGGGCAGCTCCTGCATTGAGCGTCTGCCCCCTGGTGGTCAGTGTATGTCATAGCGACTGGTTGTTGGTCGATTTGCATATTAAGGTTTTATATAGATAGATGATGAGAGGGAATGGACATGGGAGGGGACAAGAGAAGATATGATTTTGAAACTTTTGTGAAATCTCTGAGACAAAGGTCATACAGACTAAAGACTTAATGTGGGTAACAAAATCTCTCTTTACAGCAAGCCAGACTGATCTTTGTTTTTTCAAAATTGCCTTGGAACCCAAAGAGGCCAAGGCTGCAGGGGTTCAGGGTGGTACTGATAACAGAGGGAATGCTTACTGGGTAACCAACTTACTCTAATCTTTAAGTGATAGCAGTTAAAGAGAGCAGTGTGTGATTGTTATGTATTCTACATATTCCTGCTTCCTTTTCTACAATTAATTCTCAAGGAGAACAAGGTGATTCAAAAGCAGACCATTCAAAGAGGCCTTTGGCAAGTATTTTATGTGTATGTAGTGGGTGACAAAAGCATCCATATAGACAGAAGGAATGAACACTATATAATAAAGTTATTTGCAAGTAAATCAAGAAGAAGGTTGTTCAGTGAGCTAACAATGGTAATAAACATTATTGAGAACTATGGTGATAAATGTGGCTGGTCTTTGAAGTTTATAATCAAGACTGATTTATATCTTCCATGGAGAAGAGGCAGGATTCCTTGTGAATCCCTCACCTTCACACGATGACTTAGGAAGCAGTGGTCTTTGGTCGAAAAGTTCTGGGTTCAAGTCCTAGCTCCATGACTTCGGGCTCTGAGCCCTAGTTTCTCTTATATAAAATAAAAATAATGATACTTGTCACATCTATCCCACACAGTTTTTGCCAAGATCAAAGCAGATGCGATCATGGATATAAAAATATGTTGTAAACCATAAAAGCACATGCAAAAAAGATTAATCCTTTTCTTCTTCTCCAAACCAAAATGTGATGAGAAGTGATAAAAATGTTTAAAAAATAGGAGCAACACTGAAATATACCATTTTATCAATTCTTTTATGCAATTTGAGGAACTGATAAACACTCCTCTTAAAGTGGTTATTAGTAGCCAAGGAATCGTTTTGAAAACAGAGGTTACTAGAAACAGCTTTGCTTCTCTTAAATAATCAGTTTGTATTTTTCTTATGGACACTGTGAATCTTATAACTATTTCTTTCTTTCTTTGCTTAGACTTTAGGAAACTCAGCACCAAATATGGAGTCCACCTCTATACCACAGCGGTAGAGAACCCTATGGTATACATTTTGTGAACAAGCTTTAGTTCTAACATTTTTATTTACTCTTTGCCTCTGTTTCTTATTCATTCACTTTCACCTGACTGTATTAAGTGCATTTCTGAAATTCACTTTTAAAAAGTGTTTTTCTGGAAACACACAGAGAAACAACAAGTCAAGCCTCCAAGTGAGGAAGTTTGGCATTAATTATTCAAAATGATTAATTACTCAGATAATCAATTGTTTCATAATTGTACAATTACACCGCAACAAAAAGGGAAGACTAGTGTTAGGTGCCTGAACATATCTGCCATCTACATAGGTAAGTAGGTCAATAATAATCCAAAAGATACACAAATAGCATTGCCCACTGTGCTGACCTAGCTGAACCAAAAGTGTCATGTCTGAAAACTTCCATTAAGGTTGATGGAATTCCTTATTTCAAAGCAATAAAACAAAATGGCTGAAAAATTAGCTCCAGTACTCACTTAGGTGATTTGAGATCACGATGAATAATTTTGTGAAGATGCAAATAATTCATTCCACTTGCGATTCCTGTGGACCAGTCTACTAGCAATCGAGGCGTAATCTTCCTGCCCGCTCGCAAAACCTCGTAGAGTTGTCCATGGGCACAGTATTCCATGATGATACAATAACATGGGGCCTGAGTACAAACACCCCTTTCAAGAAAACACAAGCATGGATATAATACACACATAGAAACAAACATACATGCATACTTATTTATATCTTAGGAGCATTTCATAAATTTAATCACTAAGGCCAATTCTCTATCCAAGTTATTTTTTACATGCATATAGATAATCATTCCTGATTCTTAAATTAACATTAAAACCCTTTAGTCTACAGATTTTCTCTACTATGCATAGCGACAATTTTAGTTTTGTTTTGTTCACTCTGGGTATCTACATGCTATGCTATATCTGGTGCTTTTTCTGTGGGGACATTCTATTCTGGGTCAAAGAGCACCCTTTCCTGAGGCTTTGTGTGGGCTAGATATTGTGTTGTTCTGATTAAGAATAATTTAAATAGCTTCCTTTTAGAATTACATAGAGGGTTTCATACATAGTGTGCAGAAATATAATTCGAATAAAATATTGCTATTTTTGCTATTATTTTGTTGAATTTTAAGTCACTCAAATTTAAGACTAGCTAGATTGAGGATGAGAAAAAAAAGAATCAATTTTCTTTTAAAAATATGTTTTTATTGATTTCAGAGAGAGTAAGGGAGAGGGAGAAAGGGATAGAAACATTGATGAGAGAGAATCATTGGTTGGCTGCCTCCTGCACACCCCCTACTGGGGATCAAGCCAGAAACCTGGGCACATACCCTGCCTGGGAATTGAACTGTGACCTCCTGGTTCATGGGTTGACACTCAACCACTGAGCAACATAGCTGGGCTCAATTTTCTATTTTATATGTCTCTAGTGATGTGTATACCTGAAACTAATATAATATTGTATGTCAACGATAATTAAAATATAAAGAGTTATTTAAATAAATTTAAAAAGAAGTTAGAAAACTTTTAAAAATTTCTGTATTATATAGCCTTTGAAAAACATTTCTGTTTAGAATAAAAATAGCATTACACAACTCAAGTATTATATATCCATGCAGCCTGTATTTCCATCAATTCTTACATCTCCCATGAAGCCTTTCCTGATCATTCCAGCCCAAAGATCTTTCTCTTCTCTCAATTCCAATGCTACATAGCAGCCATTAGTTTTCAGATGCGATCTGATATAGATTACAGGCTCATTGAAGGGAAAGGTTTTCAAGTTCTCATCTGTCTACCACAAGGCCTAGACATTCACAGCAAGCCCTTGATAGATAGTTCTTCACTTTACCTTAACTTTCTTTGATGATCAAACCTTCACATGAACACATGCAGAGGCCTGGGATAGGAGGAGGGGCACTAACATGAAAGAACATCTTCTATTTGTCAGGTGTGTTTACATGTTTATTTAATTGTTTTATTTAGTCTGCTCCAAACCACTGTAAGATAGGTATTACCTTTTCCATTTTTTTATAAGTAATGTTCAGAGAGGGACAGTAACTTGTCTTAGATCAGACAACTAACAAGTGACAGTGGGATTCAAATCTGCCTGTTTAACTTCAATGCCATGCTCTTTCCACTCGTACACCACACTGCCTCTGTTATCCTCCTTCACTGCAGGATAGACAAACATATTGGGGATTCCTATATTAATATTGTTAACTTATAGAAGTTGGAATAGTCAGATTAATTCTAATTCACAGTTTGGTTCTGAGGATGAGAAAAGAGAAAAAAAATATCACCGCTGCAATTCTCTGCGCCCCATCCTTAATGGTATGTATGTATGCCTTCCTTTAAACCTTTCCAGAGTAGTTATTGAGAGCAGTCTACCTACAAGGCACCCAGCTAAAGTCCTTAGCCAGCTCTCAATTCATGTCCTATTTCTTAGGCTGCTATAAGTTATGAAGGACTTTAGAGGCTATGATGGGCCCGACTGGCATGGCTCAGTGGTTGAGTGTCAACATATGAACCAGGAGGTCACGGTCACTTCCAGGTCAGGGCTCAGGCCTGGGTTGAGGGCTTGATTCCCAGTGTGGGGTGTGCAAGAAGTAGCCAATCAATGATTGCATTGATGTTTCTATCTCGGTCCCTCTTCCTTCCTCTCTGAAATCAATAAAAATATATATTAAAAATAGAGGCCATGATGGCTTGTAATCATGTGAAAGTCTTACAACAATAACAGGTTATAAAGAAATTAAAGAATTAGTCTTCATTGTCCCTGCTTTGCTGTGCCTGTCAAATGCCACAAAGCTATTTCTATTGCTCCCCAGCATTTTCTAAGCTACCCAAAATTTTCATCTTGATTTTCAGTGGAAACATTTTTTTCAAGTTTTTGTTACTTGACTTGTACGGAAACCTCAGTGGAGCAGGAATGTACGGCAACTACAAACAGACTTTAATTTTCATCACAGAGAAATAATAAGTAAGGCAGGAATAATGTAATATGCTTGAGGATATCAAAATACATATTTGTTTGAATCTAGTCAGTATCCTGTTCAACTATGTTTTAACTTGTCACAAATGTAGACAGAAAGGGCCTAACAGTGATATGTATGCGTTTTTCATCTTTCCCGACTGACGAATGAGAAGCAATCATTCCATCAGCCCTATACTATGACAAGGCCCTTACTAGCTATAAATAACAGCTCTATAATCACTTCTAATTGCTACCTTTTCTTCCCCTTGGCACTCAATTCCATTAGGAACAGTCAGACTGGGTTTTCTTAAAAGACCGCTTTAAGAAATTGGAAGGAAAAAGAATATAGTATTTTTTCCTTGCTCTTTCCCTTCTGAACATGGTTCTTATTTCAAAAGAAGCTGTAAGCACAGAAATCAGTATCCGGAGAGACGTACTAAAATCTAATCTTGCCTTCATGTCTTCCAGATGGTCCTGAATGATTCATTGGCCAAGCAACACATGGCACAGAGAGCTGCAAACATAACACTGCACAATGCCTCAAGAGCATGGTGTAATGGGCCAGGGACACAGTCTTGCTATTGTTTCCATGTAGAGGTAAAGACTATTCAGGCATCTTCAGCCTAAAGAGTTGGGCACCAGCATGGCAATATTTGTCCCAAATGCTGAAAAGTATTTGGGCGGGTCAGAGAGTGAGGTGGGAGGAAAGACTGAGAAGAAAAAGGAATAAAGCTTCTCATACCCATCCTCTTAGGACAAATTCTACATGGAAAGCCCTCTTACCTGGAAGATACAGCCTGTTTCATTTTAGGAGGCCAAAAGGCTTGCTGATCTCTGTCTCAAACCTAAGCTTCAAGGTTTAGTTAAATGGAAGCTCTACCTTCCATTTATTTATTTATTTATTTAAATTTTATTTTATTGTTTAAAGTATTACAAATAGCAGTGCACATGTCTTCTTCTGTTTTTTTTTTTTTTTTCCCCATTGACCTTCCCCCGGCCTCCCCTTCTACCTTCCATTTAGAATGATGTAGCATAGTGGGAGTGAAGATCCTCTCAGTGAAGTAAAATGAAAGAAAGAAGTGAGTTTCTGGTAGCTGCTTAAAAATAATTCTCTTGCCCTGGCCAGTTTTCTCAGTGGTTAGAGCATCGGCCTGCAGACCGAAGGGTTGAGGGTTCATTTCCCAGTGAGGGGCATGCACCTCAATTGCAGGTTCTATCCCTGGCCCTGGGCTCATGCAGAGGCAACCAGTCAATGTGTCTCTCTCACATTGATGTTTCTCTCTCTCTCTCTCTCTTTCTCTCTCTCTCTCTCTCTCCCTCTCCCTCTCCCTCCCTCCCTCCCTCCCTTCTCGCCCTTCCATTCTCTCTCTAAAGATCAATGAAAAAAATATCCTCGGGTGAGGATTAAAAAAATAAAATCCTCTTATTGTCTTTTGAAATGATCATCTTTGGAAAGATTAGAATTGGTCTCTAGAACATTTTGTTTTAGTCTCACATGCAACTAGGGCTACCAGTAATAGAATCACTAGAGAGAGTGGAAGGGAGAGAGAAGGGGGAGAGAGAAACATCGATGTGGGAGAGATAAGACACATGGATTGGTTGCCACCTGCATGTGCCCCAACCCGCACTTGTCCTGACTGGGTTGGGGATTGAACCCCAACCCAGGTACACGCCCATGACTGGGAATCGAACCTGTGACCCTTTGGTGTGCAGGCCAATGCTCTAACCACTGAGAAATGTTGGCCAAGGCAATGCTTCTCTTCTTTTTACATCCATTTCCCGTTCCATAAGGGGTCTTGAATCAAAACAGCCTTAATACTCATTTAAACTCATTGTATAAAACCTATACCTAAGATTTCTATTTCTTACTTTGGGGATGTGGTTCCAACAAAAAATTACCACATCACATGTTCAGCTTTATAATGAGAATTTTGTCAAGAGAGGCTCCCTCTTGGGGGCTGGGAGGAGTTCCTTCTAGTTTAGGGAAGGGGGATTTGTAAGTTATTCCACTTGTAACTGTAGCCTCATTGGTCATATAATTTTCATATATACATATAAAGAAGTTCTACTTTCTATACTTTCAGCCCACCTAAAAGCTACCTTTCCTATTCTTTACCTTGCCTACTCTGAAGCCACTCGCCATTCATTTGTTCAAACCTAAGGCAAACTTTAAAGGCTGGTAAGAGATGGAACTCAAGGCAGAAGGAATTGCACATATTTAGAACTCAGCACTGCTAAATTTGGTGATTTCCACAAATTTGCCTTTGGGTCTCCCCCTCTTGCTAGGGATTCCTGCCAATATTCTGAAAATAATGGTCTAAACTATAAAGATCTTGAAAACAACTACTTTGTGAAATGAAAATAGCACATCCTTGCTATCACCAATAACTCTGTATCATTACATTTAGAAAGCTGAGTATTTGGCATTCCTTAAAAAGCCACCTAGCAAGCAATGAGGCAGGGAGAAATACCCTGAAGGTATCTGTTATTACAAGTTAATATTTAATAAGAGATGCTAATAGAAACTAATAAAAAGCATATCTATTACACAGGTACTAATTGTTCTCTGGTTACTTAGATGTTAGCTTTGTTTTCTTAACCGAATTTTAGGATGTCCAGGCTATCTGTCATCCTATTGATAAATGAGGTTGATGAGCAGATCTGACTGCTTGGCAAGAATCCACTTTCTTTCTCTCTGCCCCATCTGCATCCCATCCAAGCAGGGCATCCTTTGGCAAAAAGAACTTCTATATTATAAACTCCTTAAAGACATGACTCTAATTTAATAGTTCTTTGATACCCTACCAAGCACCTAGCACAGTGCTCAGTCTATAGCATGGTCTTAACATGTCTTTCAAAGCAGGAATTTATATGTATATATTGGGGGAAAGAAAATCTATTTCTTAAAAAAAAAAAAAAAAAAAGCCTTGACCTACTTGAAAGCGATGATGTTAGGATGCTTCAACTTCCTCAAATGCTTGATATCCGTCTCATTCTGTTCTCTCACTTTCTTGATGGCCACCTCCTCCGCTCGGAACTTGCCCAGAAAAACAGCTCCTTGGGCTCCGCTACCCAGCCACTGCAGCTCTGAGATCTCCTCAAATGGCACTTCCCAAGTATCTAGGCACACAAAAGAGGAACAGGCTTAAAAAGATCTTGGAATTTGCTTAGGGACTATTCTACAAGGCCACTCCAAAGGTACCAACTTTACCATGCCCCAAAATGACTCTACACTTTGTCCCCCACCTGGTAACTCACCAAAAGTTAGAACCTTTCTGTGTGCCTTGAGACTATAGGTTAGATATTCCCATGAGTTAGTCTGTATCAGTTTTTAACCAGTGAAATCAAGCAGATCAGAGATCTCCAATATATTCTCCTCCAAACAAAACATACAGGGTGTCCCAAAAAATGTATACACACACTTTGAATAATTATAAAGGCAGTGTTTATTAAAATACATTTCATTTTCAAAACTGAGCTATCAGCTGTTAAAGTGTGTATACAATTTTTGGGCACACCCTGCATACTGACACTGCCTTCTCTGCGCTTCAAGCTTGCATGTTCAGTCGATTCCCCTGTCTCTACACCACTATCCCTACCCCATCACCCATTATAAGTGTTGTTTTATTCCTCTTCGAATTTCTAGTCAGGTGCTCAATTAATCCTTGCTGAATGAATTTTCAATGAATCTCACCTAAGAATATAATTATGCATAATACCTGTATTAGTATTTACCTTTTATTTAGTAGTTACTATATGCCAGACACTAGCATACTGTTTTACATGTCTCATGTGTTTAATCCTTACAACAATCCTACAAGTTCAGCCTTATTATGGTTATTTAAAGATGAGAAAACTCGTTAGGGGTAGGGATGGTAAGTGGCAGAACTGGGCCTAGAACTCTAGAATTGGCTGATTCCAGGGACAGTGCTTCTCTACTATACCCCATTGCCTCTCATGCAGTAACTAAGAGTGTCATTAGTCATGATATCTCTCTATATAAAAGCCTAAGAGACCAAACAACCAAATGACCAGTTGACCAGTCGCTATGGTGTGCACTGACCACCAGGGGGCAGATGTTCAATGCAGGAGCTGCCCCCTGGTGGTCAGTGCACTCCCACAGCAGGAGCGCCACTCAGCTGACCAGAGGCAGGGCCCGTGGTTGGTTGGCGCTGCTGCAGCAGCGCGAGCCTCTCCTGATCGGAACTGACTGGGTGCAGCAGGGCTGGGATGAGCGGGAGCAGCAGGTGATGTTGGACTGCCAGTTTCTGCCAGATCCTTGCAGGCTACGCTGAGGGACCCCACCAGTGCACAAATCCATGCACCAGGCCTCTAGTATTTCCTCATATAGATATTTATTCTTGTAGTTCTCATATTTTCATGTTTCTCTCTTTTTTAGAGTTTTATTTTTATTTTTGGTACCAAAAATTGTACCAGGGGTTATTTCTAAGTGGTGGTATTATTAGTGATTCATATGGTTCTTTATCCTTTTCTGCGTTAAACATGCTTAACTGTAAGTGTATATTACTTTTATAATGAATTAAATGCTATTTGAGATAAAGCACTTCAAAAACCCAATCAATATGTGCTTTAATCTTGTGAAACTTAAAAGGAAGAATGTAATCCATTGATCCTTCTCCTCGTCCCCCTTTTGCCAGTGCGTCATCACTGCACTGGTAAGAAATGAACATCAAAGAGCCAGGAGCCCTAGGAGTGAGGGGAGGATGATGACAACGTTAAAGGTTATGAGAAATTCTTGTTGGATCACTGATCACTAAAAGGCTGCTATTTAGAGAACACTGAACAAGGTAGAGTTGAGGTGGCTTTGAAGATATTCTGGTCTTGAAAGCAAATCAACTTACCATTTGCCATGTGAAGCAAGAGCAGAAAGAGTTCATCAGTATCCAGAAGGGAACTACATTCCCCTCGTCTCTAATTTCTCCACTTTAGGAGAAAAGAAATTCTGTAGGCTCTTAATAAAACGTGGCTTCTCATCACAATGGTTAAAACATGACCTTCAAAATGTAACTACGTAGAGCAGAAAATATTACAGTGAGGGTGGTTTATATCAGCAGTATTAAATGATTCTATGCTATTGAAAGGAACTATATGCTATATCAAAGCAAATTTCTAAAATACAAATAACTCAGAAATAAGAAATCACCTAAGGAACAAATAATATCAAATGTGATTAGGGAGAAAGCAATAAGTTATAGACTTGACTGCTTTCAATATCTTTATGGTTTCTAATGACTGATAAGTATTAAGTGGCTCGAGCAGTCTCACTTTCATCCCCATGGGCTTGTTCGTGCAGCACACACAGGCGCAGATATTGATGCATACTCTAAGACAGTTTTACTATTAGGGTCAGTGAAGAACTAAACACAGTGTCATTGTGACCATCCTGAGGGTGGAATAAGGTATGATTATAGGATATGGGGCAAGAGCATAATTGGATAATATTTCTCTGAATAACTTTATAAAAGCCCAAGTTACCCTAATTTTTAATACAATAGCTATTAAAATTGGACAATCTTTGGGGTGTCTTTTTCCCCTATCTACTCAATCCTTATTTACTGTTAAATACTAGAAACATTAGAAAATACCAGAAAAACCCCTATTTTATCTGATATCCCACCCCATACTCAGTTTTCATCTTCTCTTTTAGTCTTTGTTCCCATGTATACAGCTATGTAAAAGTTGTATATATGTATAATTTTTTTTCATGTATTATGTATTCCCCATGTACTTATATAATTTTTATTTTAAGCTTTAATAGTTGTTTACTGTATACTCATCTTTTTATTTGGTACTTAAATATTTCAATCTTTTTGTTTGCTAATTTAAATTTGAAATTAAAACACTTTTTTCTTTCTTCATATTTCCTTCCTCAAACTCAATTCTTAGATTAAAGAGCACAGTTTCTTGGCTCTTGGTATACATTCCAAATTGCTACCCAAAAGGATTTAGCTCATTTTTGCTGACAGCAGCAATGTATGTTCCTTTTATAACAACTTTGCCAGCAACGAATATTGCCAATTATTTTTTGGTGCTAACTTAATTAGGTATAAAATACTATTTTATGTTTGTATTGCTTTAATTGTCAGCAATGTGGAATATTTCCTTTACATTTGCTTACTATGCATATCTATTTTGTAGGAATTATCAAATTTATCCTTTGTCTATTTATCTAGTAGGGTCTTGTAGTTCTCATAAATTTGAAAGAACTTCCTCTCTATTTCTTTGAAAACATGAAGAGAATATATATATATATATATATATATATATATATATATATATATATATATTTACAAAAGCCTTTTCCTTTTAATTTTATTATTTTTTGAACAACATATTTTTGTGGTTGCCTGAAATTTTCCTTGTAATGTCTTCTACTGGCTATTCTATCCTCTAAGAGTTGATCTTTAAAAACTTTAACCTTTACATCCATCTGGAATTTATTTAGGTGTATGATGGGAGGACTGGTTTAAATTAAATTTTTTCCATATTGTTATTTAGGAATTCTAAAACAATATCTTAAGTAACTCTTTCTTTTTATATCATTTTATAATGTTTACATTGTAATTTATTATATTTTAAAGAAATAATGCCTATTATTAATTATTTTTTCTTTTCTTTTTAAAAAAATCCTCACACAAGGATGTTTTTATTGATTTTAGAGACAGAGGAAGGGGGGGGGGAGAGAAGGATGGAGAGAGAGAGAGAGAGAGAGAGAGAGAGAGAGAGAGAGAGAGAAACATCGATGTGAGAAACATCTATCAGTTGCCTCCCATATGTGCCCCAACTGAAGATCAAACTCACAACTAGGTATGTGTCCTGACCAGGAATTGAATGGTGCAACTCAGTCAACTGAGCCACTTGGCCAGGGTGTATTATTAAGTATTTTTATAAAATGAGAAATAAATAAATTGGCATTCAAATACCAAAAGTTGAGGATATTATAATAAGGACTAAAGTATTCCTCTACCAACAATAGCTCATGCCTATGTTATTCAGCCAAGTATCAATTAATATGAAAAAAATAAAGGAGATAGCATTGGTATTCAAGAACACAGAGTGTAAAATAAAATAGTATTTTAACTACCTTCGTATCAATCTTTTTACTAGAACTGATTACCAAAAGTAAAATGATGGATGTGATTTAGCCTTCTTGTCCTGTCCCAAAGTCCCTTCAATATCTAGTAAGGAGGCAAAGGACAGAAGAATGGCAGGAAAAAAACAAACAGCAATAAGAATGTGAAAAATTGGGGGCCTAGATCATTGATGAATGAGATCACTATCCTCATAATAATGGAAATTGGTTGTGTTTCCTCCAGGGTTAGCCCCAGACTTTCTGCTGCTTTTACATCTGTCCCTGGTACTCTTCCCAGCTTTCATCTTCTCTCTGATTCATCACTATGACTACTATCTTAGTTCCAATATCCACCAGGATTCTTAAGACTGAGAAAAAGCCACATGCCCACCCACTTTAATGCATAAATTCTCCTTTGTTTATTCAGACATGCCTATGACAATACTTGCTTTGAGAATGGGAATTATTTGGAAATAAAAGATTTCAATTACACATAGTGCTACCTTACTTGGACTTCACCACCAACAAGCTAAATGGCAGATGAGGACATCATTAAAATTTTTTTAAAATCTAGTGAAATTTCCTCATAAGTACCAACCGCAGGGACACATCTGTTACACGAGCTGTCCCTTGGTTGACTGTAATCCAGGATTAAAGATAATCTCCCTGATCCCAGGCTGACAAGGAAGAAACACTTAGTTTCTGGCTAGCAAATCTCTCTCTCAACCCACGGCAACACCAGCCCACAATAGGATATCTTATCATCTGCTGAAAAGTTAGGCAGCTGCTGTGTCCTTGTGAGCTTAAACTGACCAGGCCTGTTTCTTATTTATTCCTGCAATAATCCTTTCTGAAAGTCACATAATCAATTGGACTCCTTTTCACAAACACAAAATGTGTCTTTTATACCTTTTATATGTCTAAACCTCAATACTGCATTTGGGCCCTAAGACCTTCAACTTACCACCAAAATAATTATGAGACTGGGCAAGTTAAGACCCTAAAAACCAAATATAGTTTATAGCATAAGCAGATATTTGTAGGTTTCGTGTCTATTCAAAGAGGGAACTTTAAAAAAAATAATAACTTAAGGGTTGTTATCTCTAGATTTTGGGATGACAGGTCATTTTTATTTTCCTCTTTGTGCTTATCTTTATTACCAATTAAAAAAAAAAAAAAGACTGTTTAACATAGGAGTTCCCAGCTTTTGTGTGACAAGGAATGCTTTTTTCATTTCCTTGAAAACTTAAGACCATGGGGGGGGGGGGTAGTGGAATGTGCAGAGTATGGGAATATGTATGAAAAAGAGAGAGATACAGACAGACACAAAGACAAACAGACAAAATCCAGGTACTGACAAAGAATTTCTCCATGGAGCTCGAATGGAGGCTGACAAATCCTGAAAAGTACCCCGGGAATTGACAGATCTACCAGTAGATTCCAATATACTTATAGGGAAGAAGTATAGAGGGAGAGGTTGGTATGGTTTAGGAAGAGTATTTCACAAATAGGAGAAACAGAATGCGTGAGAAAAGTGGTTAATGGCGATTAATGTTGACTGGCTGTTGTGGAAAAGCTGTCAACAGTCCTGACAAAAGAGAAGAATATATCTTTAAGGGAGGGCCACAGAGTCCAATATTCATTATAAAAGAAATAAAACAGAATCTTATTTCTGCTCCATATTTTTTCCCTTCTAAAATTTTAAATGAGAGATCTCATAACAACTGAATCTTTTTCAGAAGGCTACAATGATGTGTATCAAAGGCCTTAAAAGCAACAAACCCTTTGAACCCAACCATTCCTCTTCTAGGAATTTATCCTAAGGAGTAATCAAAGATATGTGCAAAAATTAAGAAATAGACAAATGTTCATTGCAGTGTGACTTATAATCACCAAAAATAGCAAACGAATTGCCAAGTAATAGAGGGTTGCTTAAATAAATATTGGCATGTTCACATGATTTAATATTATGCAGCCACTAAAAATGACATTGACAAAGTATATTTGATGATATGGAAAAAGTTCACCGTATGAAGTGAAAAACAGTATGACTCTATTTGCTTTTAAGGCACACATACACACACAAAAGGACTAATGTAATATATACCAAAAACATTAATGGTGGTTATTCTTAGGATACTGGGATCACAGATTATTTTAACTTTTTTGGGGGGAGGGGAGTGTGTGGGGGAAACTGTATGTCCCAAATTTTCTACATATATTTTGCTATTAGAAATAAAATGTTCTTTTAAAGGACGTAAGTGAAGTTATAAAGAACACTAGGGCCATGTGTTCTCTTTACCTCAGAACCATCATGCTGGAATTAGAATACATGAATATACGTGCTACACAGTGATGGCAGTTAAAAAAAAAAAAGCAGGGGGATCTAGAAATAATGATGCATCTCAAGAATAGTTAGATATTTTATCTTTTCTCAAACTGTGGGCTTCCTGTATCTTGACTGAAAGAAATAAATTCCTTTTATGACACCCTCAGGCAGGCTTGCAATCATCAGGGGTAGTATCATGTGGCTTCCATCTGGTTTGGGATCAGTCCAGTGGCCATCAGACTTTTTGATTGTATAAATTTTCAATAAAAAATTTTTAAATATGCAAATATTATGTGATTTATTTATAAATTAGATATCTGCACTTTATTAAAATACCAAAACTATATAAAAACACATGTGAAAATAGAAAGTTAAAATGATGAGATGAAAGGAACAGAAACTCTAACATTTTCTTCCTTATAACACCATGATTGTCTTATCTGTAATCTACTTTGGACACCATTGGATTGGACAACCACAAAAGATGGGCTTCGACCAAAAAAATCCACCCGAATGTGAATCTGTCCCATTCAGAAGGTCTATGGGAAACTGATATGGGTATTCACTAGGCACTAGTTCTTTAATTTACCCACAGGCCAAAGGTTATGCAGTAATGATGATGGTGTCTTTACACAAGAAATACCTCCCAGGTCTATATGATAGCTTACCTTGCTGCTGTAATTTGTAATCAGTGGAATACGCCTTCCCAATGATATTCCATACAGGCCTTAAGCATCCAAACAGTCCTTCAAGAAACCCACCACTGCTGCCGCCTGACCTGCTGAACTGAATCTTGATGTCTTCTGTTCCGCTCATGCTCTCTCCATCTACAGTGTTGCTGTTCCCCTGAGACACGGCCATTTCCGATTCATCTTGTTCCCTTAGCTGAAGAACGCTGTTCTCAAACTGGTCCCTGGAATCCTCGCTCACACTTGTCAACACTGTTGTGGTGATGGGGCTGTGCATGCCCTCCGTTAGCTCGGTTTGCACCACCCCCTTGTCCTGCTGGTCCTGAAGGAGCTTGGGTGAAGGGTGGCTCCCCATGGGCGGGAGTTCATCTTGCAGTCCATTGAAGGTTTTGTTTTCACTCAAGGGTAAGTGTGGGGAGGAGGAGCAGCTCAGGTGCTCCTGAGGGTCGGCCATCGTGCCATGAGTGTGCCCGAGGCCCTGAGATGACACTCAGAGGATTATCTGAATAGAGTTCTGATGTAAGAGAGGGCTCCAAAACCTGGGGGAACAGGAGGAGGACATGAGATCACCCTTTCCTCAGTCATCCGCACTACACTTCTGTTTATAATAATAAAAACACTGAAACAATGAGGTTAGTTAAACAGTGGTGCATATCCACATGATGGAATATTGTGCAGCAATTAAAAATCATGCTGAAGAAGAGCATTTACTCACATGAGAAAATTCATGACATATTAATATAAAAACACATTAGAACAATATATTCTACATAAACTGTTTTTAAATGTATTTAAAAGGATACATAAATACTTATACAAGAAAAAAGACTGAAAGGATAAATCCAAAGAATTAACAATAGTTAATTCCAGGTAGTTAGATTGAGGGGGTGGTGGTGGTTATATTGTCTTGTTTTTTGAGATATTCCAAGCATTCTGCATTAATACAGTATGTTGCTATAGATCCAATGTTTGTGTCCCTCCCAAATTCATATATTGAAACCCAATCCCCATTGTGTTGATGTTTGGTGGTGGGGTCATGAGGGTGAAGTCCTCAGGAATGGGATTAGTGACCTTATAAAAGAGACCCGGAAGAGTATCCCCTGTCTTTTCTGCCCTGTGAGGACACAGTGAGGAGATGGCTGGCTATGAACCAGGAAACAGGCAATGAAGATGAGGGGGTAGATTTAACCCCTAGAGTGCCAGGGAGCGCGATAGCGCTCCTCCTGTCTTTCGCCAAAAGTGCCAGGAGCACTATCAAAGCTTCGAAATGGCGTCCAGTTCTAAGTCTGCTTTTATTAGTGATGATGATATTGCTAAATATGTCAATGTAGTAAAGATTTCCTTAAGTTTTTGAATATGTAACTTCATTTACTTGCGATTCATAATTTTTTTCCCCTAAACTGCTGTAAAATCAGCAAAAATGCCTTGGCAATTTTAGCATAGTTCCTAGGATATTGGTTGGCACTCAAAGGGTTAAGAGGCAGAGTTAGTAAGATCAAGCGACGGATTAAACATAGGGGTGGGTAAGGAAAAGGGAGAGGAATAACTTTCAGATAACTTATATGGGATAATGGATAGATGGGCATGTCATTAACTGAGTTAGGAAACACCAAAAAAAGGAGATTTAGAAAGAAAATAATTAGCTCAGTTACAGACATAGAGGTTTTAAGGCCTACTGTGTATTGTCATGTACTGAACCAGGCTTTTATTTTTGTTATCTGATTTTAAAAAGACACTTTGTAGGAAAGGATTTGAAGAGAGGTAACGATGGGTGCTCCTTTAGCTCAGGGGCAGAAGTATCAAAATAATACAAGGGTGAACCAAAGTTAAGTTAAAGGTGTATTTATTAAATATGTGCTAAGAGCTGTGTTGCAATGGGCTAGGTTCTGCGGATACAGAACATTACTTATTGCCATTACTACTTTTAATGCTGATTAAGACAAAGAGCTTTATAGTTGATAGAGCCCTGTTTACATAATTTAGCCATGTGCTGGTAAACCAGTTCTCCAGGGGGGAAAAAAACCCAATAATCCAATTTGTAGGGTGTGTAATTTCCCTGGGATAAATACTTCCATCATGGCAGATTTTAATCTAATAACACGTTAACAACCTGCTTGCAAAGTTACTCAATATTGGACAACTGGCTCTTACAAATTGATGTATAAGCCATCTCCAGCACTAATAGCCCTGGTAAGCATGTCTTGTCATTTTACAGAGAAGTAAGAAACTTTCCTAAGGTCATATGTGGAGTAAGAGGTAGAGCAGGAATTAAAATCTAACTCAAAATTCAGATTCCTAAATCCCCTTGCCTTTTTAATAACACGATGGCCCTTACTTTCTTAAGAGTGCTTCATGGTTAAAAAATACTGTTGCCTCTGATCTTGATCTAAACGTTTGTCCCCTGTGTAAGGAAGAGAAAACATGGGATCATTGTCCCTGTTTTTCAAAGAAGGACACGAAGGCTTAGAGACAGGTGTGTGCTAAAGGTTAGAGAGCAGGATTGAATACCAGGTTAATTTTCCTTATCCCCAAACTCCCTCCTGTACCATACAGTCTCTGTAAGATGTAAGACACAGTTCCTTCCTTTCAGAGCTAACAAACTAGTCAAGGAGTTAATAATTACATCAAGGGAATCACCTCCTGACTGTTCCCCACCCATGATAAATGAGCTGTGAGAAGAAAAACAATAATGGGGGTAGGAGTAGTGAAGTTGGGCTGCAGGAGAGAGGTAGGACTTGAGATGAACCTTTGAAAGGAAGATGTGTTTAGAACAGACAGAAGAAAGGAAGGCAGGGAGGAAGAAAAGACCAGGGTATGGAAGGGGTTGATAACTTAAATTTTAGGGCATATAGAAATTTTAGGGCTGGGCAACTGCCTGGTAATATAAGGTTGGGGGAAAAAGAGAAAGACAAAGAAAAGCTGGATTTATGTGTTATAGCAATAGCTGCTGGCTGAATGGACCCCCATTGCCCTCACCCCATCCTCCCTACTTTGTTCCCTTTGTGCTCATCTCTATGTTTTGACATTACCGATTCCCTCATTTTGCGTTCTTGCTAATCTCCTGCTACAACCTTGGCTGTCTCTTGCCTTTGGTCTCTCCAACCTTGTTCTGCCTGATCTCTTTGAAGACTGCTGACTTCAGATTCTCTGACCTGGCCGCTGCCTCAGCCGTTCCTTCCAGTCTGCCTTTGCCGCTGGGACTTGTGGTTATCCTACACAGCACAGGGTGTCCGTTATGCTATCGGCTCCCATTAGACTTGAGGACATTGCATACTGTATATGCGATTTTCAGCCAAACACCTATTTGTGCAATTTGTTCTTTGAATCAAACTATGGGACTTTATATTAATTCTTAGTAAATTTCTATTCTGTTGATTTTTATCCTGAGTTTCTCCCTGATGACATCATATTGGAATGAGCTCACACACAAAAAGTTAGAAAAACATGTGTTTGTTTTGTAATCTCTTCCCTTTTCCAAGAGGTTAAGGGTGCACATGAAGCAGACCTGTTGCCACTGGCACTGGGAATGAGTACAGAAGAGAACTTCAGCATGGGCATCACCTGCAATTTGATATTTAAGAGATCAAGGAATAACAGGACCTTCAAGGAATATAGTCCAACACACTGGTTTTACATATAAGAAGCAAATCTCAGAGAAACTGCTGACTTGCTCGACACAACCAATTGGTGGCAGAGCTAGGATGTGACCTCTTCCTCATCCCAAGAAGTGTGGTCAAAGAAGCTTGTACCAAGTCCAGTGTCAGCAAACAAAGGCAGAGAAATGGAGAGACATAGAACAAAGGGAAGGAAACCATTGCCATGACTATATTCCAATATGATCAGAGCTGACTCTACATTTAAGGAGAGTGTAGGATAAAAATATCTAAATTTTACCTGTGTTTGTGTGCACACCTACAAACGGCCACTGCACAGTTCAGAAGCTGGTAAGTGGAAACGGAGGGAATGCAAGCAGCCCACTATCTCTGCCTCTGTCTTTGTCCTCTCAATCCCACTCTCCCTGACCAGATTTTGCTCAGGTATCTTCATGGGAATTGACTGGATCTTCTTTAAAAAGTTTTTTTTTTAATTGATTTCAGAGAGGGAGAGGAAGAGCTAGAAACATCAATGATGAGACTTATCAGTCAACTGTTCCTGCACACCCCCTACTGGGGATCAAGCCTGTAACCCACCCAGGCATGTGCCCCCAACCAGGAATCCAACCATGACTTCCTGGTTCATAGGTTGGTGCTCAACTGGTGAGTCACACTGGCTGGGCATGACTGGTTATTTTAATTCGTGAGAAGTCAAAGTTAGTTTTTATTAGAAGGGGATAGAAAGGAAAGGAGATGATATTTTTAAGCATTGAGAGTCAGATGGAAAAAGATAAGGAAGAGCAGAAGAGTGAAGGGGCGAGGTGGGCAGGGCTGCAGGCATGGTGATATGGCTGCCACCTCACAAGGGCTCCTGAACCTGCCAGGAGCACAAGAGGGCCTTCTGCGTCTGCCCTCCAGGCACACTCCTTACTCGGTGAGTTTCTCAGCACCGAGAGGGGGGAGCGGTTTGTGCAAAATGAGTAGGCAAGAGCTGGAGACAGCAGCAGCTGTGCATTTGCCAGGGCCCTGCCAAATTCTGGAAATTACCTTGGCTTTGTGCCAAGACGCATCCAGCACAGAGAAAACGAGGAATGGAAGAGGCAACGTGACCATATGGCCTTCAAATTCTTGTGTTTATTATATAACACAAATTTTCCCATGTTGCTAATAGAGGATAATTTTATAATAGATCATATTCTGAGTTTTATATTATAAACATGAGTAAATCAAAGAATTTAGAAAAATTTTCCCCTTAGATAAAATTTTCAGTGTGACTAAAATTGAATAACATTTTAATTTAAGCATTATTGCTGAGATTTCTTGATTGATGGTGAAAATTTCCCAAGCTGTCTTCTCTTTATTTGGGATTTTCTTGCCTTAAATTAAACACAGTCCTGCTACCCTAACCTCTTGGTCATTTCTTTAAAATACACATAGTAGTATTTCAAGCATGAGAGACTTCTGCTATTAGGGCATCATTTCCATCTTAAAATTGGGATTAAGTTACTTGTTCGCAGTAATAACATAAAGTGATCTTCCCAGGATAGAGGTCTATCACCAAGATCTTGCTTGGAATTTTGAAAAACATTAGATAGCTTTTTAATGGAATTAAAATTCTAAGTTATTTAAAATCAGATCAAAAGAGTGGCCAACGATCATGCTTTTATCTCTCACCTGCTCTTATAACTATGAACCATCTACTAAAAGTTCTATTTGAGAGGATAATTATAACCTCCCATCAACAAAACCCACTCACCTACCTCATCTCATCTTTATAACATTTCACTCAAAAACCATGCACTCAAAAAATACTGATTCAGTACTTACCATATACCTATATTTTTGGTTAAGATTCTGAATGTTTATTAATACTGAAGTATGCTGGAGCCAGCAAAAAATAAAAATTACCAAAAGGCAAATCCTCCATGTTGATGGATCACCTTCTG